TCCCAGAATCCCCCAGCCAGCAAATGCTGGCTGGGGGATTCTGGGAGTTGAAGTCCAGACATCTTCAAGTTGCCAAGGTTGAAAAACACTGTGTTATAGGGTTGTCCGGTTTGGCAGGAGAGGGTGGACGGGGGGGGGGGGGGGGGGGGGGAAGGATGCCTCGAGGGCTCCCGAGAAGGTTGGCTCCATCCTGTGCTGTTGTGTGCGGTTGCGTTGGAAGGAGAGGGTGTTTTCGGGGCGGCCCTGGGGACGCTTGTATTGATTGGCTGTCTCCTTTGTGCTCCAGGTGCTGCTGCTTCTATAAGAGAAAACGAAAGAAGTCTTCCCAGCGCCAGAAATAACAGGTGTCTTCCGAAGGCATTTTTTTGGGGGGGTGTGTGTTTTTTTGCGTACCTGCTGTTCCTGCCACCTCTTATTAAATGAGGCTCCTGTTTGGGGAAGGTCAAGAAACAAGGGACACTTTAAACCAAAAAATTTAAAAAAAAGCGGGGGAGAGACAGAGAGAGAGAAAACAGAGAGGAGGGGGAAATTCCAAAATAAACATTCAGGTGGATTCCCCAGATGGTCTCCCTCATTCACTCCTCGGATCCTGAAGCTCCTTTTGGCAGAATCAGAGAGCATCTTCCCCTCCCCATCTTGCCCTTCCCCTCCCCTCCAGGCACTGGTTGCCCTTTGATGGAAGGCGAGGCTGGCTACCTTCCTTCCTTTTCCATGGGGGTTGGGGTGGGGGCATTCCTGGCGAATGTGCTTCGTTGTTCCTCCTTTTGGGTCCTCCATGTGCCCTCCCCTCCCTCCCCCTCCCAGGACAGGGCCTGTGCTGAGCCGTAGGGCCAAGTGAACTCACGGCTGCAAAGGGAAGAACGCTGTTGAAAAAGAGCCCCAAGGTTCTCCTACATCTAAACCCTTGGTTTTCAACTCTCCCAGACAGCCAAGATGGGACGTCCACCATCGATGGTCGCCCATGGACAGCATCCACAGCAGTAAGCCAACAGCCGGAGAATTGCAATCTACTCTTCCAGTTGCCTTGAATTTTTTTTCTGGCTTCGGTGATGTCTCTCTCTCTCTCCCTCCTATTTTTTTTTCCTCTTTCTCTCTTCCTCAGAATGGTTGGAGAAAACTCTCCGTTCTAAAATGAGCATACGTTTGTTGCACTTTTAATTATTATTATTTTTATTTTTATTGTAACACGATGGATGCATATGACGCTGTTTGTGTGTGTTGTCTCCTCGGCGTGGCGGCGAATGAGGCCAGCCCACCTGCTCAGCTTTCCCACCCCTCTTTTAACAGCAGGCTGCCCATCCCCTCTTTAGGATTCCTCACCAGGACCGCTGCCGGGTTCTTCTTAACGCCTCCCACCCACCCCTGCAACGGTGTTTGCGCCCCGCCGCTTACTTGAATATTTTTTTCCAGCTCCTCTTGAAAACACCCCGCTCGTGGTTTGTCTCCATGGTGCCTACCTTTCACCGGCTTGAGATTGAAACAAAAAAATAAATCTTTTCTGCTGGCTGAAGGAGCGAAGTCAGCTGGACTGAACTTTGGACAAATGACCATGGAATGAAATGAGGCCCTTTGGCCTTTTTAAAGCGGAGCAAGGCTCAGCCAGAGAGTGGACACTGCCCTTGCCTTACACTTCGTCTCTGGTTTGGATTTTGCCAAGGCTTTTCAGTCAATCTCTACAGACTAGAAGAGGGTGTCATCTATGTAGTGCCTGCTGATTTTTTATTTTTTTTTCCTGTTTTGTAACCCGGGCCCTAACGTTCCTGGAACACACACCTGGACACGCGATGAGATAAACTATCGAAAATGCAAGTTTTTTTTCTTTCTTTCTCTCTCTCCCAAGCAGACGGGAACTTTGGGCACACTTTGAGAGAGGGATTGAAGAGGATCCTTCTTCAAAACCCTTGGAGTCGCCTCCTAAAATCCATCCGAAAGGCGACGCGACCTTGTTGATCCAGCGACTGATTTCCTTTCCTCCTGGAAAGGAAAAAGCTACCTCTGGGACTGTAGAGGAAGAAACAAGCATAGAGTTCCTCGTTTGCAAATGAAAGAACTGCTAAAAGGGAAAAAGCCACTGGACTGGATTCCTGCTCATCTCCCAACACTCTCTTCATGCCTTCCGTTTGTCTTAAATGTTAAAATCTCAGCCCCCACTTCTCTTTTCAGAGCTGTAGATTGCGGCTCATTTCCCAATTAATGGGCCAGGGAGACCCAGATTTTCAGTGATCTGTGCATTTGGTTCTCTTTGTGTTCTCCCTTTCCCCCAAAACGGGGTGCAGCACGTAAACCCAACTCGTCATCTTCCTCTTTCGTCACTGTTAAAAGAGTTGGGAGTTTCCCCCTTGTCAGAGTACATTCTTCACCATTAACTTGCTGCCCATTCAATACCAATTTGAAATTAGCTGTTCATTCCACCTTCACCAAAGGGAATCAGGCTTGCTTCCTTGAGGGGATTTAAAAAAAAAATTCAGAAAGGAAAACCGCAGCTTTTTCACTCTAGCAGGAGTGACATTCCACTTGCCCATTTTTGAAAATCCTGAAAGTGGAATATATTTACACTGAGCAAGAGAGTCTAGGGGATTTCTCCACCCCACCCCCCAATTGAGGTACAACTTGTAGCTTGCAAAAAAGGGAGAACTACGTGTTAAGCTACAGCTTTGTTTCTAAATCTTCAGTAAACCTCTAGTATGAAATAGGGGACTAGGGAAGCTGCTCTAGACCGCTTTTAGGAATCTCCCCCTGGGTTATGAGCTAATCGTTCATTTTACACAGAGCACTGTGTTCTTCACAAAAAGTTCTCCATTGCTTCTTCGGAAATTGTAATATCAGCACTTGGATCTGTAGCCTCCTTTTTCCCGATGAGCCCAAAACACGTTGGCTTCCAGTCTCGGATAATTTACTTCTGAACTACGTTGGGAAAAAAACAACAACGTGTCTTTCCAAGAGCCAAGTCTATTTAACGGTGAGGATTGCTTTCCTTCTGGGGTTCATGAATTCTTTGCTAGCTTGGCACAGTTTTTCTTTTTTTAATTGGAACGAAATATCAGCAGAAATTTGATATCTGTTTAGAAAAGGAAGATAACGCCATCCAGTTATCTAGCAAGAGGGCTTCTCACCTATATGCATGTTCCTCGGCTATTCGTTCTTTTGTCCTTAAAAAAAAAAAGACTCCATCTCTGCTCGAGCCAAGAATCTTTATCCTCAGACCTCTCCATCTCCTTGAAGTGAGCAAATCTCTTTTATCGGAGTGATCCCTCGTTCCTATTCCTTTTTAAAAATATATATATATATAAATAAACTGGAATGGCTAATCTAGAGGAAGCACGCTGCATTCATGTTCAAAAAAAATGTACATACAATCGCACTGAGAATGACCAGCATTAGAAAACTCNGACGCGGTTTAATCGGGCGCGCTTTAGTCGAGCGTGGTTTTGTCGTGCCACGGCCCATCTGATGGTTTGTTAATGTGTCCTGCTAGAGAAGTGACCTGTGGTTAATCCAAGGGGTTTAGGTGGCTCTTCCCTAAGACCATTTTGCCACAGGGTTGGTAAAAGAAGGGCAGCCCCCCTAGTCCCCCCAAAATATACTTTCCCGTGTTTATGAGAAGCCGTCTCTGGCCTGGTTGGTTTCATGCAGGTCCTTCTTCCCCAAACGACTACCTCCCTGAGATATTGGGCCGGCGGCCATGCTGTCTTTCGGTTGTTGCAGCCCCGAAGCCTCTGGAGGTGGTTGAGTTGAGCAAAGACGAGCCTGGCGTGAACATCTCGAGTGTGGGGAATAGGTATGTTTAAAGGGACTCTTGCCTATGCGGTTCCTTCCATGTGACTCTGTGTCTCTGCTTCATTTCATAGTGAATTCATTGCGTAGGTGAAGGCTTCCCAGAGTCCAGGCTTCTCATAAGAAACTGGATTGTCTCATTCTGTGAACCATCCAGCCTGTGTGTCATCATTAAAGGAGGCCACCTGTGCAGAATAAGTCACCCTTAGTTTCCTGCATGAGCCCCTCAGGTTTTTACCGATCATCTTCCTTTACTTTGGTTGTTCGTTTTATCATTGATTAAAGAGAATACCTTGTCAAAACCCCAACCATGTCCCCTTTCTCTTTTATTATAGTTATTTCTTGTGAGGTTTTGTCCATATCACATGTTCTACAACATATCTTCCATCTCAAAACAATCAACCAACCGATCAGCCAATCAAGCACCCGAGGACGCTTATTTTATAGACCCAAACTGGAGCATTTCTCTCTATTCTCATATTCTCTAAACAATTGGCACTGATTGTCTAGGAATTCTTTACGCCAGTTGCTAAATATAACCATCTGGCTGAAACAATTGGCACGTGGACTGAAAGAGTCGGACACTGCAATTAGAGAGTTGCTAGGACCGCCCCCTGCCTCCCAGCATCGTTTGTTATTTTATTTATTATTTTATTTTATTAAATGTATATGCTGTCCATCTCGCTGTCCAAATCTCTTTTGTGGGGTTGATCCATTCCAAGAGATAAAGGACTTTTTTTTTGGTGAGATTTGTACTCATACCCAATTCTGGCGTCATGAGCTCCCAAGGAAGACTCCCTTTACATAGGAGAAGTTGGTGGAAAATGTTTTTGAGGAATGGGTGGGAAGAAAGGTTAACATAGACAATTTACACCGATTGACATTTTTCTAGCCTACTGTGGTTTCCATAATTTTGCTGGGATTTATTTAATGCATTGAAACTTACACCGTGTTTCCCCCAAAATAAGACCCTGTCTTATTTTCTTTTGACCCCTGAAATAAGCACTCGGCCTTATTTTCAGGGAGGTCTTATTATTTTTGAGGTGCAGGAGGCAAGTACTAGTCACCTCATAGCTGCTGCTGTGTTGCAATTTCTTCTGGGAGGGCTTATTTTTGCGCATGCGCTCAAAAGCCCGATTCGGCATATTATCCGGGGAGGCCTTATTTTCGGGGAAACAGGGTAGTTGTAGTGATGCCAGCTGGCTTTTATCCCATGCAGGCCAGGACACTGTATAGCCCAGTATTCAACAATCTGCTGCCCTTCAACTCTGTGAAATTACTAATTCAGTCATCCTAATCTAAGTAGGATAACATTCCCATCACTTGCAGGACATCAAGCTTGAAGAAGGTGTTACAGAACAGGGGCCTCCAATCCTGGGCAACTTTAAGACTTTGTGGATTTCAACTCCCAGCTGGCTGGCTAAGGAAATCTGGGAGTTGAAGTCCAGAAGTCTTAAACTTGCCAAGGGTGGAGATCCCTGCTCTAGAAGAAATGTGTCACATGGACAGACAGATTAGACATCATCCAGCAGAGAGAGGAAGACATTTTTTAGAGTCCAGAGTTGAACTTTTGAAAGATAACTTGGGAGTTCCAAGGAACTACTTCAAATTAAATCTTTCTAACCTACTCGTTCCATCAACTGATGGCATGTTTTGATATAGAAGATCTTTTTAATACATATTTTAATTGATGAAATTTGGATGTGAAAACCTTGGAATAAATGTTAATAATGAATAGGGTATCAATTCTGTTGAATTAAATGTTGCATTTTTAAAAATGTTAAGTGTTAAAAAGCACCTGGCTTTTTAAATATGGGAAGATGCACCCAAGAGTCACTTTAATTTCCTTTTTTAAGGAATTGGAAGTATAAATATCTTCAATGATGTGTAAACGGTTCAGACAGCCAACATGCACTGGCACTAATTTGAACTGTGCATTCAGTTCAGGGGTGGGTTTCTCGCCCCGTTCCAACCGGTACTAGCATCTGCGCGATGCTCCAGCTGCTCCTGGAGGATCGCACAGGCGCTGTATGCGTCCTGCGCATGCGTGGAAGCGCAGAACTCGTCAAAACCGGGTAAGGAGCGCGGATGGGCGGGTGGGCCCTTCGCCGTTCCCGGAAGTTACTTACTTCCGGGTTCGCCGACCAACCGGTTCACAGGGGCCGCCGCGAACCGGTTGGTCGGCGAACCCGGAAGT